AAATATGTAATATTTTCCAGATTTGTGAATCAGATGAGTTATTTCAGTTTTTCAAATTCTTCCTGAAGTTTACTTCATATATGTTATATTAATCATGTCTACAACTTATTTACTCCCCTCCCTCCAAGAAAAATAGTATGACTAAAAACCAAGTGCTACCTTTTTAATCTCCTTACAACAGCTAAATTTTAGTAAGTAGTGATATATCTGAGTATATATTTATTTTTTTCTCATTTGAAAAGAGAAATATATGCATATGTAATACTTATATATAATATATATCCTATCCACAACTTATGATCTAAAGCTCAACCTCACAGAAACACCTGGTTCAAGGTTTGAAACATGAAAACTATTATTAGTCCTAACAGAAATCATAATTATAAGTATTACTATTATGACTTAACTGAGTTAGTTGAAGTGGTGTAATATACATAGCCATTTTAACCATTTTTGATAGAATTACAAAATAGAGGCCTGAAGCCTTGGAAAAATTTGGTGTTGAGTTGACTTGATTGAATGAATTTAAATGTATATAGTGCATTCCTAATGGATGCTTTTCTCTTTGAAGAAAAAACAGTTTTAAATATGGTTAGTTTTAATGTTCACATTAAGTTTAAAATGTTTTGCTTATTATTTACAGTACATATTTATAACTTTATGGCCAAAATTGAAGTTTATGTGCTTCATATCTTATCCCACCAAATGTATTTCAAAGAGGATCATTGTTTTTAGTGCTCTTTTTGTCATATTTGTTTTCCCGTAACAGTTATTAGGTCCCTGCTGAAATTGTATCAAATTTCAAAAGCAATAAAACATTTTTAAAAAATATAAGTTAGGTGGTGATGGTAAATTTTCTCACAATGCAAATCTGAAATATTTTGCAAATTCTTGTTTTTGAATAAATCTGTTCAAATAATTATTATTTTGCCTGACAGAATGTTATCTACATGTGCAAAATTTGCATACTAGACAATTATTAGAAGACAGTAATAGTATTTTATTACATTGTATTGTAATGTGTCCAAGAATGTGATCTATATATCATTGTGACATCTAATATGAGTTATGCTTAGTTTTATATTTGAGAT